AGTTATGACCTGATTTTCAATGTTGTAATAAGTTTCCATACGCGATTAGAAAAGTCACTTCTTCATGTTGCTGAAGTTAGGAAAACCTTCTTATATGTTGCGATTTATCTTTAAACATTTCAAATTTTTCTTAAGCCACATTTTGGCTCTGGATTTCCCAAGAATGTACTCCATCTGCTACTCGTACAACTTACCTTAACCTTAAGAACACAGACCTTTCTACCTCTAAGAAACTACTTAACACAAAAATAATATAAAATTATTGTACTTATTTCAAGGAAACTTACTTGTTCAATGAAAATGTCATATATAGAATAAAAAACAATAATTATAAGTAATTCATAATATATTGGTTTTATCATAATCTGGTATAAAGTGTGGACATGAGAGAAAATATGCTGATTTAATAATTGATAGCAAGTTTTTTCATAAGAAGGGTGCAAGTAATTTTGTAGTTGAAGGTATTAGCTGAAGCTATTATGAAATTTTAGCTATATTAAATGTTATAGTAAATCATTTCTGCATTTGATTTAGTTGTAGGTTACCATGTGTCATTTCTAGTGCAGTATATTCCCATCATTTTTTAATGTTTATTATTTTCAAGCACATAAAAGCTGATGAATAAACTGATGAAAATGATATAATTAATTAATTAATCAATCATATAAGGGCTGGTGAATAAATGAAAGCCAAAATCTTCAAATTGTTTGGATTTTCTAGTTATACTGTTTTCTAAATAGAACTATTTCTCAAAGCAATAATGACCATAGCACAAGTCTAAGAAAAAATATCTTGAATACAGTTCTAAGGAAACCATAATAGGAGTAGCAAATAGATAGAAATGGAGCACCAAAAATAGGTGGTAATTATCACAATACAGAGAGTATTAAAGAGAATAAAACTGTTTGTAAAAATGTATTTTCCTACTAACAATGATACATCATTACAATAATATAACCTAGTTTGCTATCTAACACAGCAAAGTGGTATTTGGTTTATAAAATTCAGTAGTCACCTTCATTTCTAAAATGTTATTTTAACCTAACATTTAAAAATATATTTCTAAATAAAACTTTTTATGTAAGCCACAGAGAAGTGAACAAGAAATAGTCATGGCATTCAGTGACTATCTTAGACCAAGGTGTGTAAACATGAGTAGATATCAGGGATTACCATCCTGCTATTCATTTAAGAAAGAAAGTTCAGTGTGGCATTGTGAAAGGCATGTGGAAATCCATCAGCATGGTGGTCATCATATGCCCACACTTGGCCTCAGGACTGTACTGGGAGACTCCAAAAGGAACCAAATCTTGTATTTTTTCAAGGAATTAAAAAAGATTGAAAATTATTTTCCCAGTTTTCTTTTTTCTTCTCTATCCCATTGATCAAAATACAACCAAATTAGAGCTAACATTTTTACTTTTATGCCTTTCATTCTCCAACTTCTGGTGACAAGTTACATAAGATTCCTAGCTCATAGCTAGAAGGTCCACTCAAGTTCACAATAAGCCAATAGAGTTGACCAAAGAAATAAGAAATAGTCAAGGATATGAGATCACATACACACAATTTTGTCCAATATCACGAAACATGTGTGCTACTCAGACGCATTTATGTTTCATGTTGTAGTATTTTATGATATTTAAAGAATTTGCCATTTCCTGATAATTGGCATCAATTAGGAAAATAACAATGATACAATGAATTAGCAAGATATTTTCTCTAAATGACAACTATCTGGTGATATGATCTAATGGTATTTCTCTGTGGTCCAGCAATTGCTTAGAATATGGGAAGTTCAAGGTTCAATTTCTTTCACCACTAAAACAAATCAGTAAATAAAACAAATTGGGAGCAGAAGAAATGATACGGTCCCAATATAAAACAGCGCAGTACAGTATTTTCTTAAAATCAAAAGTTGATTGTTTTGATTTTCCCTCAAAATGAATGCAGAGTTAAAAACACTTAGCAACTTAGTAGTCACAAAGTTGTGATGGTCTACTTACTAAATCTCCAGGAGAACATCTACCAGTGCAATGTAAAAATTCAAATTCATTATTGCTTCATTATAGTTTATTTTGGCAGGGTCTAGATGCTATAATTGAAGGAACACTATGATAAGCAAGTTCAATATTCTTTGCTGTTACTGTAACCTACTTTGTTCCCCCCAGAATGTGGTTATTTGTATTTATTCTCCCCTGAAAGAGTGTCATAGTTTTCTCCTTGATTTTGTTTATAATAATGTATCTTGTTTTATAGATCAGGAAGCAATGAATGTTAATGCTTCCAAATTTGTGTGTTTCCATTACATCTTCAGGCTTAGGTGCTAATTACAAACCCAGTAGATGTACTTTACAGTGCACATGAATCACGGTTCTAGGGAGCACCTGATTTTCAAAAACTCCCACTTTGTACTATACACAATGGCATCTCTTTAATTCTATAAGATTAGAGTCAGATAAAGGCCATTTCTCAAAAGTCCTATAGAATGTACATATGTTATCTCTCTTTGGGGAAATTATCTGCTAACTTGCTATAGGTCTTTTGAAAACGCATAAATAAAAAATCCTGAATACTTCTTCAATGTATCTTAAAAATCCTTTATTATGAAAAAGAATTCTCTCTGTCACTGGGCTTTGGGTCTCTGAATTGGCTCAGTGCCACCGCCTGGGTGATAATCTGTAACTATCCATTGAAAGGCATGACTTTCCAGTTGATTTGCCAGTAACTTATAATATTGATCATGCATGGAGCTGCTTCAGTTGCTACTTTAGAAACATATTCTATAAGGCTGTTACTTTCATCATGTCCTTTTATGGTCCATTTAAACTGACAGTTACCTATCAGCAGCATGGAGAAAACTTATATACTTTCCAGGGCACTGTCCTCTCCTATTTCACACCTCATTCATTGAGCATCCCTTTCTGCCTCCACTTGAACAGAAAGCTATCAGAAAGGACAATACCTCAGCCTTTTGGCCATTACCAGTAATGCTGTCCTTGCTGGTGATAAATAGTCTCCTTATGGAAACAGAAATTAAACATTCCACAGAGATGAATAAGACTGATTCTTCTCATCAGTCTGTCTATGTATGTATGTATGTATGTATGTATGTATGTGTGTATGTATGTATGTATCTATCTATCTATCTATCTATCTATCTATCTATCTTATCTTTCTATTCATCTATACAGTCAATATCCATCTGACCATCTGTCCATGCACACATATATTTACTATCATTTCTCTCAAATTAGAAAATGCACTTTGTTTTCAAATATAAAGGATACATTTAGAAGTATCACTACTGAAAAATGAGGTAGACAAAGGAATGCTCAATAATACTTCAGATTGAATATTTACTAAATTGATATGTAGTGGAGATTGAGGAAGAGCCCCAAAAGAAACGAACAGTGTAGCCTCAACAAGAATCTCAGTTCTGTCTCTCTGTAAAAGCCCATGATATTCCAGTACCAGCTCCCATTCCACACCGCCCCACCCCAGGGTTCTTTGCATTTCTCTCTTCTTCCTTCATCTCCTCTTCTCCAGTTGCAGGGAGTCACGCCAGGGAAACTTCCTGTCTTTACATAGAAGGTATGCTTTTCTTTTATTCTTAGAAATTGCAGTTTAAATTTGATCATGCTGTTCAATTATTGTTTTAGTATATCTCTCTACTAGTTATAGAACATTTGTAAGAATTTTCAGAATATATTGTAACCATTCTCTTTCTTCAGTATTGCTTACAGGGATCAAGAGTATGTCAAATATTCACACTGGAAAAATCCACCTATCTCTTTGACACCACTGGAGTTTATGGTACATGTTTTTATGATTTCTTGACTACTGTTTCTTGTATTCTTTTCGTTGGTTCCTTGCCTACTCTTAAGCTATTCAGTACCATGTCATGGTAGTTATGCTACTTCTTGACCAGACAGCGTATCATTCCGTATCTACCTTGGTGCCTGTAGTGAGAGTCATACAGTGGCTGTTTATGGGAGAAATAGAAAGAGATATATAATTCAACTGTCTTTGATGCTGCTAGAGGATGAAACTTAATGGGGTAAGAGAAAACATAAGATTGATTCTGTGTGATCGAACTCATTTTCCTTAGTGTTTTCATCATGGGAAATCAGATTTATGTTCATTTCTTTTACATGCACAGAAAACATATTCTCAGGGTTTGCTGGATATTTACAGTTAAAACTTTTAAATGTCAAATACAAGAATTATTAAAACTACATTTTAAAAAATATAAAACTCGACATGAACTAAACCCATAAGTCAGTTCAAAACCTGAATTATTTGAAAAGAAAGTGAATGAAAATAGAGTCTAGTAAATGCATGTGATCTGTAAAAGTAAAATCATAAATAAATATTTGCATCACTCAGAACTTGAAGAATACTGATCTTATAGATTATTAGACAACCCTGATTCTTGTTAGGAAAATCTTTGGATAATGTCTATATAGGGTCTCAAAAATAACTGTGATTTGTATGTTCTTAGAACTTAGGAAATCACATATTCCTGTCTATGTGTATTATAGTTTTGTAATATTACTTGCTCAGAATTAATGTTGTTAGACTGAAATATGCTGATAAAACAAAAATAGCAAAATGATCCAAGTAAATATTTCTTTGTTTTCATGTTAACACAGGAAACTACAATGTGTTCTTCATCATCAAAATACTCCAGGATATTATATGTGTGGGTCACGGAGTCCTAATGAAAGTCTGTCTTTGGCTAAGAAAGGGGAAGACTTTCATGAAGAAAACTATGAACTGAAAAATTACAAAATTTTGACATTTCCTTGCTTAACATGGTACTCATGGCAGAGAATATTTTCAAAGGGAGAACATTTTTGAAAAAAAGAATGTTTTAAAATTTTCAATAATTTTATATATATATGTATATGTGTGTATGTGTGTATATAAAATATTTTAAATGAATGCATTAACATATCAGCAGTCACATTGAAAATCAGGGCATTCTCTTATAGATCATGAATGTTGCTATGCAGACCATACTTATCATCACTATATACATGGAAATCATTATTGGTTATATAGGAAATGGATTTATAGCACTGGTGAACTTTCTGTTCTGGGTCAAGACAAAAAAGATCTCTTTATTTGATAAAATTGTCACTGCTTTGGCAAGCTGCAGAATTGTTCTGCTCTTTGTGATACTAATATTTCAGGTGATACACGTACATTTCTCAGATCTGTTGCTAAACATAACATCTGCAAGAATAACTACTATTATCTGGGTAACAGTCAATCATTTTAACTCCTGGTTCTCCACAATTCTTAGCATCTTTTATGTTCTCAAGATAGCCAATTTTTCTCACCCTCTTTTTCCTTATCTTAAATGGAGACTTACAAAAGTAGTGTCATGGACATTTCTTATTTCTTTACTCCTTTTGCTTTTAAATATTGTAGTTTTAAACGTATGTATTAATGTTTTCAATGATGGATCTATAAGAAATATATCTGACACTTCAAATTGGGGAAACATTAAAAATCTTTACAAACATCTTGTTTTTGCCAGCTCTATGTTCACATTCATACCTTTTACGATGTGCCTGGCAACATGTCTCCTGCTCGTCTTCTCCCTGTGGAAACATCTGAAAAGGATTCAGCACAATTTCAGAGGATCCAGAGATGTCAGCACTATAGCACATATAAAAGCCTTGCAAACTGGAGTTGCCTTCCTGCTGCTATATACTATGTTTTTATTCTCTGTTTTTGTGCAAGTTTTGAGCTTTGAATTGCTTGATGAAAACGTGATCATTTTATGGGACCAGGCTACTACAACTGCTTTTCTTTTAGGCCATTCATTTGTCCTGATCCTAGGAAACAATAAATTGAAACAGACCTCTGTTTTGGTTTGGAGATGGCTAAAGTGTAGGTTGAAAGATACAGAACCAAAGAATTCCAAACACATTTTGGGAATATCTTGCATGTTTTAGAGATTTTATGCAGATTAAGATTTCAATATAGACGTTGTGTCAAACATTTTAGATTAGAAATAATGAAATAAGACTGCTAAAAATCAAATATTTTACAATCGTAACTCTTAATGTAAATCTCAGTGTAACAATGCTAATGTTTTGCCAAGAATATCTTTGACTTTGGTTTTGAGATAAATAACATTTTACATCATTTAGGGAAAAATCTTTTCTACTTGCTGTTATCTCCCTGCAAGAAATATTTTACTTAAATCTTTGTTAAACTACCATATTTTGTATATTTCTACAATTTTCAACACAGATATAAATTCATGTACCCATGGCCTTCCTAAAGATGACAGCAGATTAGGGTTAACCCTAACCAAACAAATTTCAATATTTCTTCTCTTTTAGGCCAAAAATCTAATTCTAATCCCAATTGCTGCAAATATTTATCTGTTCTTTCTCCCTACTGATTTGCCTTTTTCAGAAAGTTACTTGTCAAGGATTGCACAGGATGTAGATGTTTACTCACCTTCATATTGCTAAGATTCACACATGCTGTTGCTTCTAATGGCTGAATACTATTTTATGGATAAATGCAAAACACAGTCTGTTTTTCATTCACTGAAGAATAGATACTTATGTAGTTTTCAATGTTTGGTAATTATGAATAAAATCACAGTAAGCAAATATTCAAAAAGTATTTAGTCTGTTGTTACTTACAATTTCAATCATGTAAGAAATCTTATGAAAAGCATGTGCCACAGTTCAACTGATTCATATTTTAAAGTGTGGAACAAATAAATGTAATCCTCAATTCTTGGTTAAAAGTGTTTTCTAGTGATTGACATATTATTTAACAATATTTACTAGATGTCCCTCATAAATGGAAGATGTTACTAATGAATCTGCATTAGAAAAACTTGAGTTTTTGATTTCCACATTCTGTATGTTAAAGCTCTAATCCCTAGTACAACTGTACTTGGAAAAATAACCTTTATAGATGTCATCAAGGTTAAAGCTAAATGAAGATTAGGAGAATAATCTTAATCCAATAATTGGTTTGATAATTGGTTCTTCTGTCTTTGAGAAGTGGAGTTTATACACAGAGAGGAAGCCGTATAGCTCACCGAGGACAGGGCCTATGAGAAGGTGGCTGCCTACATGCCAGCAAGAGAGGCTTTGACTGAATTTAACACTGAAGTCATTTGATCTTGGATTTAAAATCTCCAGAATTCTAAAGTTATAAATTTCTGTTGTTTTAGGACTCAGGGTGTGGGATTTTATTTTGGAAGCTCAGCACACTGCACAAATGAAATAAATTGTAATGTGAATGAACAAAGTGATGGAGAAGAGGGGTGGGTTGAGGGAGATGTTGGGGGACATGGAGGTCTAGAGAGAAAGCAACAGTAAGCAAATGATACTGTAAATAGCGTGAGAAAGCCAGCAGTGGGAGTGCAGAGGAAACAAGTTGATATGTTACCTGAACAAATAATTTAAGATTCCACACAAAGCAATCTGCACCTTCTAAATAGTTCAACTTATTTGACATAAATTATTCTTTAATAACATATATAACATAAATTATAATTTTGACTAATAGAATTTTAAAACAATTTAAGTCCTTAATTTGGAATTAAATAAGGCAATGATTACATCTGAAATGATTCACATATGTTTCATATAAAAGAAATAAAATGTAGAAAACTGTTAAAGACTTTTTAAAAAAGTATAACAGCAATTCCATCAGTCCAAACAAAGCAGACCAGAAGAGATGATAGATAGATAGATAGATAGATAGATAGATGATAGATAGATAGATGATAGATAGATAGATAGATAGATAGATAGATAGATAGATAGATATAGAGATACACTTGTAATCATGAATGGGAAATTCAAATGAGTCCAAAATTCTCCCAAATCCATAAATGAATTATGTCAGGCATTTGCTGGTAGAAAAACTCAAATTTTAGGTTAGCACACAATTTTTGTGTGTTCATATATGTAACTTTACTTAAACAGTGATACCTCAGTTCACAATGCTTTTGTTTGCAAATAATTTGGTTATCAAACAGAAGCATTTGGCAAAAATTTGCTCCTACAGAGAGAAGAGCATGACCATGGCCATCTTTCCCATATGAACATGAATATAGCCATCTTTTCCAGAATTGCGGAATGAATTAAGTTGGTGAACTGAGGTAGCACTGCATTCTATATAAAAGAGTCATATAATCATCCATTTATAAATGTCTGAGATTTTTAAATTTATATTTGCATACATTTAAAATTGTCAAGCTTAACGGAAATAAATTGTAATATGAATGAACAAAGATGTAAGGTTGAAGATTGTCAAAGATTTCCTAGTTACTTTCCAATACTGTCTTCTTTTCTTGATGAACGACAGAGCCCTAATGTCACCATGTGTACCTTAGCTTCCAAATTACTGAATGTTAAATACTTCCATTAGATAAGATGCATATACACTTCCATGTAATTAAATGACTAAGATTTTATTCATTTATTTAGTTTTGCAAGTTAATGCTGAATTACCAATTGACATAAGCTGGTGAAATAAGGTTAATAATAGATGACATAATTGCACCAAACTGAAATGTGTCAATATATAAGCACAGATACTTAAAATATAAAATGAAAGAGAAATAAGCCTTAGCCATAATTAGATCCATGAAGTTGTTAAAAATGTATTAGCAAAATAAACCTACCAATCTTTTAAGATGGACAAAATATTTAATCCATATGCTGTAAAATTTTAAATATTTTCCAAGTCAATAGATCAAGCATAATTGATAAATATAATTAAATATAAAAGACAATGTGAATGACACACCTAAAATTTTTAACCTAATTGGTAAATACAGACTACCTTGTCAAAAGCAAATTCATAATCATGGTAACATTTACATTTGCATAAATGGACCACTAAGAGCCAAGAAATATCAGTAATGGTAAATAATAGCTATTGTAAAGGATATATTCTATTGTTACCAAAATTAAATACTTTTTTAATGAAACAACATCATAATGATAATTTCCTATAAGTTTTGAAATTAAATTGAACTCTAATTTCAATCACAGAGAAGAGAAAACATGACACCACATTAAATGAAAAATGAAAAGTTATCCTAATTTGATGTTGAAAAATTTCAATCCAGCATGCAAAATTCACATTTTTGAATGCATTTAATAAAAAATTTAAGAGAAGAACAGATAGAATATTGAAAGAGAGAACTCAGTGGCCAATTTATCTTATAAAAATACAAAAAGAAAAGGATAGAAAAATATTTACTTATTTTGTAGTACAGAGATCACTATTATCACTGTCATGCATATCATCACATTTAATCCCCAAAGCAACAATACCACTTTTGGTACATGAGGAAAGAGATGCTAATAGAGACAAAGAAGAAGGCCCATATTTTTCAGAGAAGAAAATAGAAAACATGACAATGTTAACACAAGCAACATGATACCCAGACTTACATTCATTAATTAATTTGTAATTTACTTATATAATCATAGTCTGATCTGTGGTGATTGAGATATCTAAATTTGTGGATACTTAATTGCATTGTCATTGTGTTTGCAAGTTAATGATATGCATGCTCTTGTCAATTTTAAATTATCTCTACATATGTATAATATATAATATGATATAAAATAAATGCTGCGGAAGTACATACTTTGTAGTATTGTTTTGAGAACTGTGACACAAAAGGAGTCTGTACCCTCTACCCAGGAACAAAATAATTGTTTTTAAGGATTTTCAATGTAAAACTGCTTAAGTCTACAGATATAGGAAAAAAAGAAAATTTTTGTAATAAAAAAGAATAAGTACATAGAAACTAAATGTAGGAAAGGATACAACCAAAGAATTCTATGCATTAATCGATAAAGAGAGGAAAGTATAATTAGTATTAGAAATACTATAATTGTCCTCAGTAAGACAAGGATAATGAAAGAATATAGCCATTTAAAGGAAAAGTTCAAAATTTGGACAGATTAGACATCCGAATATTGGACAGGTCTGTAGTATGGGCAAATGCTCACAACCAGATTCCTGAGGTTCATGGGGGAAGAAAGAACTTCAAAGCCAGCAAATTTTCCCTAGAGTTTTACACAGAGCACTTCCTATAAGACATCTATCTGTGATCAGCTTCATACTCAGCCAAGATATGGACTTACGAAGTGGATTTTCAGCAATATCTGATGGTTCAGCTTGATGACCTATGGGTGTTATCTTCAATGTGATCTTTTTGTTAGTCTCATCTTAGTTGGGAAGTGATTATTGTTGGCACTTCATCTTAGCTTAACATGTGATTGTTATTCTTATTTTTGATATTTCTTTATTCTGTAGTGTCATCTTTCTATCTTCTAATCAATCCCTCACTATTTTAACTTTTGTTAAAGTCGATAATTATTCTTGTTAAGTGTTTTCTGGTCTAATATTTGTGCAGTTTGTCTTCAGACTGAACTTTTATCACCATGAGATATTTAAATATCATTTAATCATACTTTTCTAAAGAAATGTGTATGGAAAGGCTGAGGATTTAGCAATTACAATAGTCCAACAGAAAGTATACACTACATAAATATATGAATATTATGTTTATGGAAAAGTGCAGGCTATTTTATGGTAGTGTTAGCATTAAGAAAATGTTTGCATTAATTATTTGAAATTAGAGAGATAAAACTTATAAGACTGGGAGGAGAAGCAAAGATGGTGGATAGATAACAAGTGATAACAGAGGCTCCCTGAGAAAATCAATTTAGAATTCAACATAATACAGAATGGGGAGCCCCAAACAGAGGGGGATGAATTCTCTCATCCCGAGAAGAAATTAAGGGGACTTGCCAAACATCCGAGGTCCCGTCATGACTTGCCAAGGTCCCACCACAACTTGATGAGGTCCCACCATGACTTGTCGAGCCGTCCGAGGTCACACCACTTTGATGCATTGGAAGCAGAGTTACAATGAGTTTGGGGGTCGGCGAGC